CAATAAAATTTCAATTTTATTGAAGGAAATTCAAATGATTAGAGAAATATGTATTTATATATTTATTGCCATCATTATTCCTAATAACTTTATTACTTTGAATTAAGTTTATTCCTATGCTATATTTCTTGATGTCTACTTAAATGTGTTGGCACCCCTAAGGCACTCATATTTCATGAGAAAACTGAAGAAACACAGATTGTTCTGCTCAAGACCATGTGCCATCATCTCCATACTCATCCATTTTTTTGATGCGCCCATGCAGAGGCAGATGCAAAGGCAGAGGCAGAGGTGTCTCTTGCATAAGTGTTGGGGAAGGCATAGCTCATACGCACACACACACACAAACACACACTCACTTGCTCGTCACAATTGTCGCTGAATGCAAGCAAATCAAAAGCAAAACTACTCATGGAGCACAAAAGCAATATTGCAAGCCCAGTGCGAGTAAAAGAGTGAGAGCGGGAGCGGGTGCGGGAGTGGAAGAGGTAATGAGTGATACTGATAGTGAGAGAGAGAGAGGAAGAGCAGGTGGGGTATAAAAACGTGTTGGCAGCGGGCGGACGTCACACAGTTGTTACAAACGCGCTCCAAGTGCGCAGATAACGAGCCATTGCCGGTGGTAGGTTTAATTAAAGCAACAACAACAACAACTACAAGGACAACGAAAGCGACAACAACACAACGACGGTTGGCCACCGAAACGCGAAAAGGAATCAATTACAATTAGCATTTGTTGTCTGTACACTTCAATCGCGCACCGCCCAGCCCCGCCCCGCCTCCCCATCTAACCCACCCCCAACAACAACAAAGACCCTACCACACTTCCCGCTGGCAACGCCATTAATCATAAAACGCGGTCATGTTTGCACAAGTGAGGCAACACCGGGCAACTATCCTGCTCCTGCTCATGGCCAGCATGCAAGGTGCGTGCCATGCTCAATTATCCTTTCACACGGACGCCAACACCAATTCGTTCACGCTGAAGACGCCGGCACTGCAGCAGACCTTCACACGCTTCTACGGTGCCGGTAAGCAGGCGGCCGCACCGACGGCTCAAACGGTACAAGAGGAGCAACAGCCGCAACAACAACAAATACAGGTGAGTCTCCAAATCACAACACAGTGCCTAATCCATACAGTGAACAATGCAGGTGAAGTGAAGTCAATCATACGAGTATATACTATATCAATCAGAAAAGGGATCAGCCACCAAATTGCAGTTAGGCATTGAAGTTCAGTCTTTAATTTAAAAGACTTTTAAGGACCTTAAAGTGAAGAATATTAATAACACTTTGCTAAAGAAATTTAATACAAATTGTAATAAATCGTCTAAATACTTGTTAAAGTTCCAGTATTAGTGAAGATTTTTATTGATAAGAGCTTCTTTCAGTTATGGATAAATCGAATGATGTTAGAAAATAGTTTAATCCGGTTCTACTAAGTAGCTTAGATCGTCCACCTTTAACAAAACGAAATTTTGCTTTCAAAAGTAGAATACCAAGCAGATATATTTGGAAATGTATATACTTTTGCAACAATTTGCCTTTGAATGAAGCAATCTCAAATTTGACGGCCAACAAATAAATAGTCCACATTACTGTTGTCGTCTGTCAGTGGCCATATTTGATGTCCTGTTGGAATTGGTTTTGTTTTTTCTTTACGGGTCTACCAAATCACCTGTTTAGAAATAAATTTGCAGAGTTGTAATCACTTTTTTGACAGCTTCTAGAAAAATGAGTGGCACAAAGCGTTGCATTGAATGAATTATTAATTACCATTTGGAAGGTTTACCGCAAAGGGACATTTTCGAAAAAGTTAAAAACCCTCAAACAACAACCAAGCAATAATAAATAAATATAAAATAGATAAATGATAAAAGATAAAGGCGGAAATGGTGCGAAAGCAAACCTGTCTTTCAAAACCAAAAGTTAGACTTTGCGGCTAATGAAAAAAAAGTAATCAACCGACGTGGAACTAGAAAAAAAAAATGGTTTAGATTTCAATGTTCGTGTCACAGGACAAACCATAAGAAATTTTTGTTGACCAAATCCCGCTATTTATTTTATTTATTAACTTATCCTAGCGTTACAAGTACAAGATTACTTTTAAGTTATTACGCTAGTAATTACAAATGTATTTGTAAATTAATTTAGCTTAATTTAATAAGATAAGAAACCTCAGTTCATTACGTTAATACTTATACAATACCTACATATAAAACAATTTTCAAAGTAATTTCAAAGATTAAAGATATAGGATCGCAAACGTATAAATATCTTTTAACTAGCTATTTGCTTCTAATTGCTTCTGTGTTGCACAAGGGATGACAAAACCGTGGTTCTTCTTAGCTAAGCGTAGTTCTGAGAGAGTGTACACTAATAATTATACAGCTGTGTGTTATAAGGGTATGCTTGAATTCTTGGATGAGTAGAATGAGAGCCCGCTATAGTGGTATTTAAATGAACTACTGCATAAGTACAGGTAGAGAAAGAATCATCCCAGAACTTTGTGTCTATAAAGCTGACAAAATAATCAAGTAAAGATTTAAACTTACTTTATTCATGTTATCATCCGGCGATATTAAGCAATTGTATGATTTTTGCCTTAAGATGACGAATCCCGTCCTCGAATTACAGACTTTTCTATATATAACCAAACATACTTTCATTTCTCACTTACGCCCAAAACATTATTTGGGCATACTTTTATTTTTGAATGATACTTAAAGATTTAATGATGCAGAGGTTTTATTATATTCGTAAACTGTTTGCATGCAAAAATTAAAATTGCAACGAATTGAACAAACCGTGAAATACAAGTTGGCCTCATATATGTAGTTAATTTTGTGTGAATAGTATCTACTTTTTATTGCATCTCACAAATTTCTTCACTATGTGTGGTTACTGGTGGTTACTAGGCGCAGGCTCTTGGGTGAAATGGCCTTTCCCAGCAGGAAGTTGCACATTTTGGAGATAACTGAGCTTACTAATTGCAACAATAACACTTGATGCCAAACTTTCATTTCGTTTTTAAATATTTATCTAATTTCGGGCATATAGCTAAGATGTCCTAGTTGCGCAGAAAGCGTTAAGCATTTAGGAATACTATACTATACATGCAGGAGCAAGCGTGCCAGATTCCAAAACTTTGACAGAAAGGGCATTCTATGATATTATTTGTTAGTGGGAAAAATTCTGCAATTTTTGTTGACACATCCAACGTAGATGCCCAAAAAATTATGTGCCTTTAATTTTGTATACACGTGCTTAAGAATGAGAGTGTAATGGTAGGAATTGTGTGGTTCGCAAAAATATATTTCTCCACATGGATGAATTAGTTGCCTAGGGTTCGTCGTTAGCAATACTTCGAACCAGATGCAGAGGAAGTTGACAAACAGAGTGCCGATAGGGAGAATATTTCTGTTTTAAGTTCAATTCAAAGCTATACATATAAATTGGCAAAGCTTAAGATTATTGTTGAGGTGGTCGGTATTTTGTAAAACTTTACTTTCCCCTTTCGAAGATAGAGCTGATTGCTTAAAACTCAGAAGGCTGCTAGTTCAAAGTACTACGACGACGGCGGCGCCGCCGCCCAACGGGACGGACTGCATCTCCAAACCCAATTTGCATGCCGTCGCTTATCCTCTGGCCCAGAAACTCGACGCTATGCTCGTTACGTGCCGCCGCACCCGTCTCGATCATATCCTTTACCTGTCCGGCCACCATCAGCATGCCCATGCCCAAGTCCTAGTAGATATGGTGGCTTGATGAATAGTCTTATGTGTCGGTATTCAAATGAAACTTTACCTGGGGTTGTGGCCATGGCGAGGGCACAGCTTGAGTTTCTCTCATCACCATCACCACCGCCAACGCCACCACCAACAACAACAAGGCTCCCGCGAATTTCATGGTATTTCCAACATAAAGCTTACTCTCTGGAACGCTTCGATTTCGAGTTCTGTGCGGCTCAGTTCGTGGGCGCGCCCTTATAAATGTGCATTACATGCAGGTGGCTAATTAGCTGCTGTGGTTGTCGATTTAATTTTCATGCTTTTCTTTTTTTGTTGTCGTTTGCTTGTTTTCCTCATTATTGGCGCATTATTGCGGTGCCTTTGTTACCCATCGAACACTTCCGGCTGATAAATGTGCACATAACTTTTCGTTTTTGCTTTCATTGCGCGATTAATTTACCGCCTGGCATGCGATTTTTTTACAACTGCTCATTACATTAATGCACCGATATATTGAAGCGTTGCATTGAAGCGCTGCGTGAATAACAGGGCGGTAATAGAGCTCCGATTTCAAAATTATTCTTGTTCCGATATTGGGAAAAGCCATCAACATAATATTATTGCTAAGCTCATTTTAAATGCATCTGCGTTATTTATTGCCATTGTTATACCCTGTAGCGAAAGGGTAAAAGGTTATACTACTTTAGTGCAAATATATGGAACGCACAAATCATGTCCGTCTGTATGAACGCAAGCATCCCAGCAAGTACAAGAGACAGAATAATTAAACCTAGTATACAGGTTCCCCTAAGCCATGTGCAGCTCAAGCTTATGTTTTTTTACTTAATATTATAGTAGGTCTTCTTGTTCCCTAACATAAGTGGAGTAGACTTGTAATTCTCTTCCCGAACTTAAGCAATGTTTTTCCAAAGATGAGTTGTCGTTGTTTTCAAAACGCTTTCTTTTGTTCTTTTAATAAAATGTTTTGCTCCTAGGTTTTATGCATTTCCTTCTCTTTGTTGTGCAAATCGAACACATTACTATACATGAGAAGTTCATAGGAATTTGATGTCATTATGCTATGAGTTTTAGAGTCCTTCCCTAAACATCAATATTTCAGCATAATTTCGAGTTGAGCTTTTGTTCTTCACAGAGTACTTAGCCGACTTACATTTATGTGGCTACGGCTGTCCACTATAGTCCTACGAATTCTCGCTCGTGCAACAACCCCCCACACACTTTTCAACACAAATATATAACAACAATATTTCGTAAACATCAATTGTTGCACATACAAGTAGTGTAATAATGATACAGAGTTGTCGAAATATAACGGTCATTTAATAATGTGCAGCTGGGTTTTGGCTAAATAGGCCCTTCAGCTCTTCGAAGAGGCCATCAAATGAGTTCACCATTGATGTCCACGCCTGCTTCATGTGCTCGCCCAATTCTTCAAAGGCATGACTAATGCGCTTATCTAGACGCGGCACATCGGGATAGACCAGGTTCGGACGCACATCATCGTACTCATTAGAATAGTAATCGAAGTCCACACTGGAATCAACGTCGACTGCCTGCAGAAGAAAGGAAAACTGTAGTAATTGTAATTGATGAGACCCTTCAAGGAAGTCGTTGTGGAACTAGTTCCATAAATTTCTTGTCACTTGTTTTGTGAAACAGTGGAAGGTTGTGATATACATATATTTAGAATTGGCCACAAATTAGCGAAATACATATGTGTTTGAATTATGTTTTATGTAGATTTTTTCAGTAACTGCATAGTTATTTGGAATATTACTGAAATGAAATTCTATTAGAACAGAAGCATAGAAATAGTTTTAGTATCGCAACTGTTTTCCATTTTGTATTTTAAACATAACAAGTGGACTGCCAATTCAACTTCGAGAATGCAGAAATTAGAAGAGAAGCATTAAACAACGGATATGCCATTATCATAAAAAAATCAAGGGCATGTAACAATAAATAGTCCTTGAATAATGGTTTGAGAGACTGTTTTATATCAGTCTTTCATAGTCTCTAGCAGTGTGAGTTTTTTTTAAGTCTCAATGACTTTGTAGCTTCTCTAGTTACGTTTATTGGAAGATCACTTCACACTTTAGTTTTGGAAGTTATGTACTGGATTCCATTTCACTTCAGATCTTCTTCAATTTCTTTCAAACAGAGAAAGAAGGAAAGAATTCTAAATCGTTTTTTTATTCGCCACTGGCTCTATATCCTTGCAAGAGCTTCTGAGCTTACCGGTAAGGTTGCTGCTGGCCTGGGTAATACCAGCAGCGTTATAATGAGGGTAGAAATAACTAGAAGAGTGCACACCTCTGATTGATGCATTCTGACAGGCCCAACTGATGAAAGAGTAGTGCAGTTTTCCGCTTTTGTACTCGTACTGCAAACAATGATCTGAGCTCAGATCAGGCTTGGCGTGTGGATAGAAGCGATAAGAGTGGGCGAGCATTTTTACATACAATTATCTGCACAAATATTTCGAATAAATAATGTTGACATAATAAAACTTTTGTTGCGGTAATAAATTGATAACAAAAATGTTTTATAAGCAGAAAAAAAAGGCTTAACAACTAGTTACAATCCATGCCTCAGGTAAGGCTATGGCCATGGGTGCAGCTACAATAGAAAATGTACATCAAATCTGCATTAAAGCTATTCATTATATGATTTCGCTAGACTATAAAATACTTGGATTTGCTTGGCTTAAAAATAAGGGAATATCTTTATCTTCAAGTGTCTTTATCGATTTATTGCTGTTGATTGTTGTTGTTGCCTGCTACCTTATTGCGTATTTGTTGTATTACATCCGTCACAGAGTCCATAAACGACACCCACATTCCCTGTAAGCGCTGCCCGAAACTTGGTGGCTGCTGTCCAAACTGATCTCCTAGCATTTGTTGTTGCTCAGGCACCTGTCGTCTCCGTCTCTGGCTCTGAATGTGCTTCTTCTTGCGCACCTTACGCGTGCGCTGCGCATTGTTCGTTGCCCGGCGAGCGGCCGCGCGTCTCTTGCGCGCCTCCACATCATCTTCCGCTTCATCCGTTTTCTGCTGCCCCATCATGGACCACATGCAGGGCGCCCGTCGAGTGCGATGAAGATGTGGCAGCAGCTGCCTCTCCATCGGCGCCTCCCGCTTGCGTCGTCTGCCGTCGGACTCATCGCTGCTGTCATCGGCACCGCGCGGTCTGATGGCCTGACCGTAGCCTACCGCCGTCTTGGAACGCACGCTCATAAAGGGATTTTCAAAACCGATTTGCCTATCGATGGCAGCACCTGACTGTATGGTCTCCGCAATGTTTCCAGCCACACTCATGGCGCCCAAAGCCATTTGCTCTATCGGATTTTGGGCCAGCGCCCCCAGTTGCCCCTGCATCAGCATCAGCAACAGCACCAACAACAGCACCAGCGAAAGCATCCGACACTGCATTGTGGCCTTTTTCGAGTGTTTCCCTCCTCACTGTAGTGCACGCCACGCGTTGCGAGCCTTTTTAAATCATTTGAAGCCATTTGGGGCTCTTGCGTGCAACGTGTGCGCAACGGGGCGTATGATTGATTTTTGTCGCACTCATATCAGCGGCGGCACTATTTGTTGTCAGTGTTTTTGTTTTTGTTTTGCTCATTGAATACGTGGCATGCAATAGGCTGAACTGAATAAGTGTGCATGTACTAGAGTATTGAAAAGTGTTCTTACTACTGCGGAGAAAGTGAAAAGCATGTTTCGATTAATTAGTCCCACACCTTATGAATTTGTTGGTGTAGAACCGATTACACACTTTGTTATACCCTGTACCCGAATGGTGCAAAGCATCTTACAGGCAGACTCCATGATGTACATATTTAATCCCGCTCAGCATGACCGGAGAAATAGTCTGCCTCTTCTCCAGGCTAGTCGCTCGCAGACTCTCCTAGACTTGCCCTTCCCCTCGCTACAGAATTTCAATCCGTTTGTAAATCTCTAGCTCTATTTCAAAGTCTTATACAAACCGGTAATTTGTTAGCAAAACAATTGTACACAAGTCCAAATAACTTGTGCAGTGTATTTCGCAGTCGGGCTTGCTTCTCTTTTATTTATTTTTAATAATTTAACAATGTTATTATTTGAGATTTTAATCGAAATACAATGTCCAGCGGAAACGGGTGCTATGACTGCCAGAATAATAAAATATAGCCATGCATTGGAAGCTTACATAAATCAGAAATTATTTTAATATGATTCAACTGTTTTCTAAATGAATAACCATTTTTCTATCAAATAAATGCTTTATTGGCGTTAAGACAACAAAAAATTTATTTTTTTTTATTTTTTGTCAATGACAAGAGAACTTGAAATCGTTTCCAAAAGTTTTTCTTTCGATCTTCCATTAATTCGTATTCCCTAGGTTGTTACACTCCCTTAGTCTTTATAATTTTATTTTATGTAATAACTCAATCAATAAATCAATTTTGCTGTCGATACAGATTACTATAAGATATTTTATATTATTTTATATTATACGGGTATAGAATAATATTATGTTACAATTTCACCTTAAAAAATAAGAAAACCTCCAAAATAACTATACAACAATGTCTATTAATACCTCCGACATATTGGAGGAATTTTATTTGCCATTCTATACACAACCATATGTAGTCAGAGACATTGTAGAGCTAACAAACTTAAGAAAAAATAGTAAGTGGAGGAGAAAACTTAATTCTAGTTAAGAGCTAATAAAAAGAAGTAAGGAGCGGAAAGAAAAAGAGGGAAATCTCCAAAATAACTATAAAGGATAGCTTTTATAGAATAAATAGACAGAGAGTCCTGTCTAGAGTAAATGTGAGAAATCATTATAATTTGAACAAGTGATCCGATTCATTTTCACCCAAAAGTGTATTCTCTTGCCACTAGATTTGTCTTTGTCAAAAATTTAAGACGCGTTAAATGTAGGAAATAAAAGTTATCGTTCTATATGTTGTTGGATATTGAAAAATTTGAATGTACTATAAGATGTAGCGATAGGCAAACGTTGATAAGAGATATCTGGAATTATATTTAAAAGAATAGCGGCAAGAAAAAATACCAGACCCAGAAAGAGAGCCAGACGTGTGATTAATAAAGTTATTTAAAGTTGATTTCGCTGTGCTGTTGCTTTGCATTGTTTATGAACAAAATTGAATTAAATACTTTCAGTTTTATTTATTTTTATTTAATTATTTATTTCATCGGCAATAAAGCTGTCGATGTAAAAAAAGAAAAATCAATAGAATAGGGAACTAAAGTTTAAAAAAGCCTATAGAAACTACAAAAATATCGAATAACAAATCAGACTCTGTGCGGGAAATTTTATTTCTATTTGAGAAACGAGCAGCTATTAATGCAGACTTGATTGCCTTTTGAATGATTGAATATTGGTAAGCAGTCAGTGGAATGCTCACGCCTATTTATAAAGTCAGTCTGCGGCACATCACTCGTTTATCTTATTTCCATCCGAATGTTGAAAACTAAAAACTTTCGTTATAAGCACTCGTTGAGCTTTCTTTCAATTGTCTAGTAGCTTTGCCTTTCCCTCTATCTTTTCCGCTGACAAGTTACATTAAATTGAAAAAATTCCCATAAATTTAGTTTGTTTTTTTCGACTCCCTCTTTTTAAACTTGTGCTGCTTCAACCGAAATTTTTTGTGTGTGGTTTCTCGCAAGCCGCGGGTTAAAATACAATTTCAATTCACACTAAATTTTCCGCAGAAAATGAGAAAATCTAAAAACCGCAGCAATGGGGCTAGACTGGTAAACCGAATGCTAGCTGTTTTATTTAAATCTCTCGACCTTGCCTCTCCTTGCAGCAAAATCCAACTCAATTCGCCGCTTTTCAACCGTCGGGTCTACAATATTCAGCTGTCTATCCGCAGCAGCAACAGCAGCAACAACAACAGCAGCAGCAACTGGTCAGTTACGCACAGCAGCTGGCCAAGCAATCACAACTGCTTCAGCAGCAGCAGCAGCAGCAGCAGCAGCAGCAGCGTCTCGCCGTGGGTGCCAGCACAAAAAGCAAGCCCATTCAGGGCTCGTTGCAACAGCAGCTGCAACAGTTGCAAGTGCAGCAACAGCAGCAGCAGCAACAGTTACTGCGCCAGCAACAGGCACTGCAGCGCCAACAGCAACAGCAGCAACAACAACAGCAGCAGCAGCAACAGCAGCAACAGCCGCAACAACAACAGCTGCTATCCACTGCAAGCAATCCCCTCAATGTGCCGACCTATGCGGATCAAATGCAGGCTGCCTATGCAGCATATCAGCAACAGCAACTGCTGTTTGAGCAGCAACAACAGCAGCTGCTCCAGAAGCTCTATCACAACTATCCGGACATATCCAATAATGGCGGGGCCACCGCAGCGGACGCAGCTGGTCTCAGTGCCCAGCCACCCAGTCGCTACAGACAGTCAACTAACATTTTTGGTGCACCCGCCGCCTTCAGCAGCGGCCTCAGCGGTGGAAGCGGCGGAAGCGGCAGCAGCTCCGGCAGCAGTGCAGCGTCTCCATCGAAGTCACAGTCGGGTGAGCCGGGCTACTATTCGGCCGAGCAGCACTTTGGATTCTTGCAACAGCAACAGCAGAATGTGCTGCAGAACCACCAACAGCAGCAGCAACAGCAATACTCGAGCCTGCCATCCACCACCGAGAGCTATGGCATGGCCGTGCCCGAGTCCTCCGTCCTGGGTGCTACACCGTATGAACCTGCATCGGCGGTTTCTCATGTGAGATTCAACAGCGGCAATCTCAGCTACAGTTTCTAAATGTGGCAATTGGTTAACTGTGCTGAGAGCATGAGCTGAATGGATGATGATGCGGATGAGGAGACAGATGATGAGGGCACTGCAACCATGCAACAGGGTTGACGACTCAAGTGTTGTTGATGCTGACTGCAGGTCTGCGCCCAACTCGACCCAACATTATTAATATAAGCACTTTTTTTTCTCCACATTTTTTTTGTTATTTTTTTCTGGTTACCTACCACTTGGATTTGTATATATAGTTTATTTATTTTCAAAATTTTGTTTATCTTTTGGCCAGAGCTTGAACTGAAAACCCAATCGCTAAATAAAACGGATATGAAAATTGAACTGATCCACATTTTTATTGATATTTGCTACCATTTGGATTTGTATATATAGTTTATTCATTTTCAAAATTTTGTTTATCTTTTGGCCAGAACTTGAACTGAAAAGCCAATCGCTAAATAAAACAGATATGACAATTGAACTGATCTACATGCAGGGGTATTTTGTGCTCTTCGAGATAAAAACTGGGGACTGTCAACGTCCCAGGTGTGTTGCACGAAGGGGCAAGTAGCAGCTGACAACCCGTGCAACGCACGTTAGAGTCCTCCTAATGTTGAATGCAATAGACCGGAGTACTACAAGGATTGCTGCATGTCGGAATTCAAATTTAGTTTGCAGAGGGCCCCACACCCAGAAACACGCAAAAACTCGAAAAAAATCAAAATCCACAAGAACAAAGAACACAACCCAGCAAAGAAGGGAAAAACGCAAGCACACACACACACTTACGCACAACCTATTCATTTCCCTGCAAGCGACTGAAATGAAAAACAAAGAAGAGTATTTCGCAATGAAAACAAAGCCAAATGTCGTGGCCGTGCCACCGCCATCGCCATCGCCATAAAAAACGCACAGTGGTCAGTGCTTTGTTGGTTTTTACTTTGATTGTTCGCATAAATCAACTCTAAATCTCTAGAAAAACAATCTGTTCGCATATGCCGAGAGATGCATCTAGAAAAGGCACATCTGCATTCTACGAATTATTTGAAAAACCACTCAGCAAGTCCGAGCGCCATGGGTGTAGCGAAGGGAAGGCAACCAAACAAAATTATTATTCCCCATGAAATTATATACAATCGTCTTCAGTTGTTTAACATTAAGCATTTAAACATTTTAATTCCTGTTTGACAGCTTTTCTGAATACTCCCACAATTGAGGTGAGTAAATATTTGCGTGGATAATTCAGAAGTGATTCAAACATGCAAGTATTTATGTTAATTGAAATTTCTCCATATAACTTTGAAGGAACATTACGACCATTATGGAATGTACCAGCTGGTTCTTATATTTATACCCTGTACCCAAAGGGTACAAGGGTATATTAGTTTTGTGCGAGTGCACATGGAACACACAGAAGGAGGCTTGGTAGACCCCACAAAGTATATATATTCTTGATCAGCATGACAAGCCGAGTCGATATAGCCATGTCCGTCTGTCTGTCCGTCTGTCTGTCCGTCTGTCTGTCCGTCTGTCTGTCCGTCTGTCCGTCTGTCTGTCTGTATGAACGCAAGGATCTCCGAAAGTATAAGAGCTAGAATAACCAAACTTGGTATACAGATTCTCCTGAGACCGAGAAAGGACGAGTTTGTTCATTTTTTCTGATCCACCTCCCCACTCTCCCCCTATTAACGATTTTCTATAACTCCCGTAATTCTTGGAATTTTGAAAATTTGGTAGACACATCCAGTTAGTAATTATATATCCGTATACCAAGTTTCATTATGATAGAATGATCGGAAAGAAAGTTATAGCCATATAACCAGGCCCAATGCACACATACATACATATGTGCAAGTACACAAACACGCATAAGGCGCGATTCTGATGGAAATGTAAATGTATGTATGCATGCATGGAATATTTTATATTTAATTAGTTAATATTTAGTTAATTAATTAAATTAATTTAGTTAATTAATTAAATTAAATTAATTAATTAATTTAATTACTTTTTTGTGGGGTGGTACAGGGTATTTAAGAGTTGAGCCTGCTCGACTTTAGCATTCCTTTCTTGTTTTGATTCTGTCTGTTTTTATGTCCGTCTGTCCGTATGAACACCTGGATCTCAGAGACTATAATAGCTAGAGACACAAAATTTTGCACAAAGTTACAAACATATATTGTATATTGTCTAACGGCAGAAAAAAAATCTTGCCCTCCCCTAAATGAGATCTTGACTACGCCCATGCATAGTGTATAGTGGTTTAAGCATTCTCTGTCCCTTAGAATGAGCGTTTGCTTTAGCAACTCGTAGTTCTGATAACAAATAATAGAAAGCGTTCCCCTCCACTCAAACAAATTTCCACCGCTGTGTTCTCTAGGAAGGGTTATAATAAAGCAGAAGAGTGCCCACAAAAAGAATAGCATATGTTGTAGTAGTTTCTAGCAATTATTCAAATAAAGGTAGAGAATAATATATAAGAATCGGATGGATTATGAAGCTTTTAAAATTGTAGGCAGTATTGACGGAATTTCGTAGCAAGAGAATGGACTGGGACTAGGGACTAGGACAGTTCAGCTCAACAGTTTCTGAAATCCATGTGCAAAACACGAAAAAATGTACTGGGCGTACATGTCCTCTTTAGATTTCGCTTCATATCTGACCTAAAATACTGTTATACTCGTAGGTATACTATATACACTATATACATATACTATGGGGTCGAAGATAATTTCTTTCGCCTTTTCTTTTATAACAAATTGTATCCAAATCGAGCAATACTAGGGAAAATTCATTTCCGAAATCGGCATCAGCGGATTCGCTGTTCTTCTTCTTCTTCTGGGTGGTCTTAGCGAAACGCGTTGATAGGAACGCTATATGTGTGGTGGGTACACAGTATTTCGATATCGGGCTCAACTGTAACATCTTGTTTTAATATTTAAAGTGTTTCGGGCTTAATCACAGAGCTATATGTACACTGTTTCTAACTAACAAACTATATATAAGTGCTTCAGACTTGAAATCGGTCAGATTTCAGAGATTTATGTTTAGCGCAGTCCGACGAAAGAAGATCTCAAAGGGACATTTGTATCCAACAACTGTTTTACTTATGTCGACAGCATATATTTGTCGAAATAAAATAAAATAAAATTGAAAAAAATACAGCGACATTTAAAATACATTATTTTTGTAAATCTCCCTACCAATTAATGGTTTCTTGATAAGGAGGATGAAAAAAGCTGATGTTTTTTTGTAGAACCCAATTCTACAAGCGCTCTTGGAGCTTGGTTTGGATATATTTTTAATATTTCTCAGTGTTATATGCTGCTTATGCTGCGCCTTGCGGTAGCAATTCTTGCTCTTTACTCATTAGATTAATTATTTAATTTATGTTGTGTACTTAAAGTAAAGTTAGGGCTGTCTAGATGCTTCGATAATTATGTTGACTCTGTGGTGCAATTGAAGCTTCTTCAATAGTATTTATTATGATGTATTGGAGCTTAAATATAATAAGTTTGTTTTCATTAAAAACTTGTTGTCATTCAACGTTTTTCAAGCCTCTTGTTTTTAAGTGAGGGGAAGTGGAGCTTGTAGAGTTTAAAATCATTAGTACTAAGTAGTGTGTCGAATCAGCTTGGCTTTCATTCGCTTATAATCACAACCTTATTTTCACAAGAGTTTTAATTTACTGAAAATTATGGCCCCATATCTTAATGCACATCTAACAGTTAATTTATTTGTGAGTGGTTTTCTTACAACGATAGTAGGCCTGTTAATCAGCTTAAATGTTGCCAACGTCCACCAATATGAAGAAAATTTTATGGCATCATTAAGTTCCATCAAAACAGCTGATGTATATGGAAACTGTATAAATAATTGTTCCACCCATAGGCACACATGGCCTGTGCACAACTATTCTCCAGATGTGGCCCCTTTTGCGATTAATTTTTGTTGCCAAACTTGAAAAAAGTCACTTAGCTGGCAGAAATTTCAGTCGAATGAGGAGGCCTACTTTGCAGACCTCTCGTAAACGTATTTTACAGACGGGTTTAAGTAGTTGGAGAATCGCTGGGTCACAGGGACACTATCTTGAGAAATAAATCGCGACTTTACCAAAATGTTCGTTTTTGTTTTGTCCCCTAAGAGCTTATTGGACCAGACCGTATAGTATCTAGAAGTCGCCAACTCTTATCGAAAGGGAATGTTCCACCAGCCAGAACTTTGTCTTGAACAAACAATGCCTGAATCCCATCAACAATTCATAATATTATTGATTCGTGGACAAATATGCAGACCTTTGGCAAACCGATTAGCTTGCAATTCAATTGATTACCCATAGTGCCAACAATTTTCTTGCACCTTGATTTTGATTGATTGAACCGCTGCATACAACTACCTTGTCCTTTTTCTTTTCCTCAGTTTCTTGCTGTTGTTAGTGTTGTATATACGAATTGTTGTATTATTTTATTGTATTTTTCTTCCGTTTCAGCTTAAAGAAGTTGCAATGAAAAATTCGAAACATATTTTCAAAATCAATTAATAGTGTGTGGGACTGGAAGGGCGTGCGATTCCAGCAATCAATGCATTAACTAAGTATATAAATACATATATATAGGTTTTAGCAGAACGGCTGTTGACATTTCAAAGCGGTGTCATCAATCAGTCCAATGGAAGCTTAGGCGGCACATGAGTGCCTGTGGACAGATGACAACCACGTTAACGCTCATCGGACATTGTTGGGGAAGTAAGCGGCTTTGAATGCGTCGGGCCATTTTACTTAACTTTATTTTTAGCTTCAGTTTTCAATGTCCTTGCGGACGTAAGGCGCAGAGAAATGGTTTAAAGCGCACTTTCAAAATTTGTATTTAAAGACACAAGATAATTTACATTTTTAGGTCGCCTGTTGTTGATATTTTTAAGGATCTGCATATATGTACATATATGTGTGTTTAAGCGTATGGTCCCACTATGCATCAACGTCGTCATTTCGTTGTCATGCTGATGGCTATTGTGACACACTCGTGCCATAATGTTTGTGTTCGAATTCTTCTTCTTCTAGCTTCTCTGAGCCAAATGCCGCGTGGGCATATGGGGCGCATGTGTAATGTGAATACTCGTAAAGCCTCCTTCCTGGCCCATGGATGGGACATACACGTATTCGTGTTTTCAATGCGCCGTGTTGCTTAAACAAATGATGCGCTTTGCGCCACTAATTAATGCAACGATCCACGCAGACTACCAAAGGTTCGCGACTCTGTTGATAACTTTCAGGTGCTCTTAGACGTAGGCGGTATTTAAATGCAATTACAATTGCCATGCGAGACTTTAAGCACGATTGGTGT